CGGAAGAATTTAAAGAGTTTTCTTGCTTGGACGGAGATGAGGTGTCTCCCCAGGGAGCACAAGGGAGAATACTCCAGCTGGATCCAGTAGAAAACTCTTACTTGCTGGTTGAGGATGAGCAGCTAGTTCTGAAAGCGTTTCGCCTATTTCACCGCATTCCTTCCTTTGGCTTTGTGGTGGAAGAGAAGCCCCGGACCGGTAAACTCAATGTACAGAAACTGAAAGACCTTGGTAACTACTTTGACTTATTTTTCCTCTTTTTAATTTTTTAAATGCCTAAATGCATGTGTTCAAGCTGAGTAGTGACTCCCCATTTTCAGCAAATGTAACAAAATCGGGTTCGCAGGCAGCTGAAATCTTTTTATGACCACCTTTCTAGGGGTTCTAGCAAATTAGAGCTGCTGTATCTCTCCGTAATCCGTTTTAATTCAATTTTCCATTTTCTATTAAAGACATTTTCATACTTCATACCAATGGAGCAGTCTGAATTGGTGTGTAACACTAGTGCCGATTAATATTGCAGACCATTCTCATACTGGGAAGAGCGAACAAGTTCAGATGTTAAAGTTTAAAAAGCACAACGTGGCTTTCAGGGAAATGTATGGCCAGTGTATTTGCGTGACTTTATTGACTTTAATATGAAGAATATAGCTTTTCTTCAAACTCACTTCCTGCTAACGTTACAAGCTCTTTATTTGTATGAAGTATGTGAAATATCAATTGCTATTTATATTGAGGTTGTATTTTTTCAGTGAGGCAGCTCTATATATAGCGTATCTCTTCTTAAGTGATTTTTTTTTTTTTTAAACCTGACACTCAATCATAATACTTACGGACTCTTTTGCCTTTTTTTACCAGGAGTTCAACCAGGTCCTTTATATGGGAAACTGAAGGATGGAACAGCAATCGTTCTAGAAAACGGAGTAACGATTTCTCCTTCAGACGTCTTAGAAGACCCTATTCCTGGAAGAAAAATTTGCATTTTGGGGGATTGTTCAGGGGTGGTTGGAGATGCGGCCGTGAAGCTTTGCTGTGAAGCAGACGTACTGATACATGAAGCCACGTTGGACGATACCCAAGAGGAAAAGGCCAGGGAGCATGGTCACAGCACTCCAAAAATGGCATCAGAATTTGCAAAATTGTGTAAAGTGAAGAAACTGGTTTTGACTCACTTCAGTCAGCGGTATAAACCAGCTGCTCAGAGAGGCGAGGGAGACACGGACATCGCCGAACTGAAGAGACAGGCAGAGTCAGTGTTAGATGGTCAAGAAGTTACACTAGCTGAGGATTTTATGACAATAGAAATTCCAATGAAAAAGTAAAAATAGCAGTGTTGGCAAGCTCTGTGTGAAGACATGAAGTAGGATGGTGTTGGATAGCACTTAAAAATAACGGTGGGGTTTCTGGTATCCGAATTAGTTCTCTGCCGTGGCACGCGGAGAACCGTTGCAAACTGGAGAGAGTACCGGGTACGGTTAGCATTGCTTTTGTAAAGCAAGAAAAAAGGATACTCAAACATCTGGAACTTGGAATGAATTCGTAAGCGATGGTTTGGGACACCTAGCCTCCCCAGAAACCCAGTGTGCAGGCTGGTGCAAGTCTTCACAGCCCAGGGGTTTTCCTTGCACCACGGATTCCTAGAGCAGAGCACTGGATCACTTGGCTTAATACCGCCCTCGGGAAGGCTTGCGTTCTGCGCCAGAATTGAAGATTTCTTGCCTGTTACAAGCTTTGGAATAACATCTACTTCAAACTTGTATACAGTATTTTGTAACTGTTACCCGATTTCTGTGTAAGAGGACTATTAACACTGAAACTAATAAAGTATTTATAACTCTGCCAAGTGTTTGTAACTGAGGGTGTTGCTACGCTCGAGGAGCTCTTATGGTTCTCCCTTTGCGTATGAAGCTTTCTCATAAACAAATAAAGTTTAGGCTTCCTGTCAGAAGTGAATCACTCTTAACAATTTGATTCATTTAAAGCTCTGAAGCGTGAGCCCGAGGTTTGCATACTTATTCCCTGCATCGGTAAAGTTTGGGAAGCATGCTCTGGAAGTCTTTAGGCAGATGACAAGTAGTCTTTCCTAAAGTGTTCCTCTAAGTGCATTTTCAAAGACAAGTTATCCTGATAAAAGCATATTTCTCTTTGTAGAAATACCCCTACGGGAGGAATTTCACCGGTGCGTAGCTCAGTCTGTTTCTGCAATGACTTTATTCTTTCAGTTAAGGGACGTGTAGACCAACTTTATCTCCTTTCCTTCCCGCCTCAAACCAAACTACAAGTTGGGAGTTTCCCAAATTTTAGCTCCATTTTTCTGGTCAAAAGTAAAATCGGGGCTTTTGGAAAATCTAAATATGTTTCCCCTAGCATGGATTCCTGCAAGCCGAAACGCTTCATAGCTTTCTAATAAACACTGAAAGCTCTGACAGGCTTAAGTACAGCTGCTAGAGTTTGTGCTTGTACTTCTGTTGAGTTGATGGTAACGCAGATGGAAAATGAACCAGGCTTAATATACAATTTCCCTCCCTGCTTCAAATGGGGAATAACAACGCTCCGAAAAACGAAAACACTCCCGCTCTAAAAGATCTCTTCCTTGTGAATGGTGCACCGCTCGAGGGTGGTTTGTGTGCGGTGGTAATCCTCACCCAGACCGAGCTGGGGAGATGAGGAAGTTAAATCCTGCAGATAATTTTTCTATACTCTCCATGTTTTCTTCGCTAAGAGTGTACTTGGCTGTACGTGAGCAACGGTCTTCGAAGAAAAAGAAAAGGAGCGTGATCTCCTAGTGTTTGACTAGAGGGATCGACTTGAATTGGATGTCTTGTCCCCACCCTTCAAACAGACTCTGTCTTACCTGCGGTTACGGTAACTCTGAACCAAATTACACCAATATTAATATTTCATGCTTCAAATATGCTTCAAATGTAGAGGAAGTCTTTGATTTCTTTAAAAAAAAATACTGGGAAGAGTTGCAAACTTGAGGAACGTGACTTCTGGAGCAGGAACTCACTGATCTCTATGACTTCTCTCTTAGAAATGGTGTGAAGCGGGCAGAGTCTACAGATCGTGCAGTGGCACGTTCTTTCCCCCCATAAATTGTTTTTCTTTTGTAAGTTAAAAATTAATGGCAGGTGCAGAGATCTTGCTACCACGCTCTGCTTTATGTAGTCAAAAGCTGAGCAGACTCCAGCTAGTCTATGTTTCATACGGTGAAAGAATAATTGTCTTCGTTGTCCTGAGCTGCTCTGCTACGTCTGCTTCCACACTGGAACAACCAAAAATTCCTATTTCCAAGCCATTCACAGTTGTGATACGAAGTTTAGGGAACAACTTCAAGGCTTTGTGGAAATTCACTGCATGCCACCTGCAAATGACAAAATCAAAGGATGGAAATAAAACCAAGGGACAATCCAAAAGCCTATGCAACCCGAAATGTGTGCACCCGCCGCCGCAGCTCGTCTCCCCGCGGTGCTGGATCACGCTGCTCCAGAACTGGGTTATCCATCCCGGCGGTAAATACATTTTTGCATTCGTGTGGTTAGTTAATTGCTGTGAATTCAGGAATATTTTCAGTTCCCATTCAAATGACGGAGGGTGTGGGTAGATGTCTGAGATGAATCGGCGGCGCAGGCTCCCAGCGTGGAGGGAGCCTCGCTCCTCCGTGCCTCGCGGTCCCGGTGCCCCCGTGGTCCAGCTCAGCGTGCCGGCCCGGTGCTCGCCTGGCTAAACAACCACTCATTCTTGCTAGCCTGCAAGAAAACGGCCTCTGGGCTAATTTTCGGCTGGATTACCAAGTCGATCAGCGAGCTGTCTTGCCGCGCGACTCGTACAAGGGCTGAACGAAGGAGGGTGCAGAAGCGCTTGGCCAGAAATGGGGAGCTGCTTGGGACCCCCCTTTTTAGCAGTAGTGAGCTGATAGATTGGGTCAGTCCTACCACATAGCTACGTCCTAAATATGTTTTAGGATCTAAATCCTAAATAAGAACCGGTCAATTTGGCTAAAGAAGAGCAAGGGGAAGAGAGTACAGTTGAAGCAGCAGGCCAGGTCCTCTTCAAGTATGAGGTCTGGGGACTTTGTTGCACAGAGCTGATGTGTTAGTGCATTTTTTATGGCAATTTATTCCGTGTGGACAATCAAGGGAGGAGATGCTCGTTTCATCTAAGCTGAGAAGAAAAGCTGTAAGTCGCCTGATCTATGTTGAGGGCTGGATTAACTGTATGGCTGTCATTTTTTAAAACACTTTCTTTTTGGTATGTTGGTGAAAGAGGGTACATTTAGTGCTGGAGTTACGTGAAATTCCTGTATTTTCGATTGAGTATATTTTAGTATTTGTAACCAAGTTATAGTTGTCTCTTTCTTAGCAGATCCATGTGTCTTTGCTTACCATGGTCCACTCTTCTCTCTTAAGTCTGGATACTAAATTGCTTCATAAATCTGACTGCTGGTGAGACTTGAATTAAATTAATGGGAACATGTGCGCCAGTAAGGGCAGAAAAATTTGGACCATAAATTGTCTGTTTTCTCAATGAGTTTATCTTTCCATTAACCGCTTGTTAATTACCAGAGAACAAAATTCCGTTGCATTAAAATATATTTGCCTGAGAGTATTTTGTCTGACAGCAGGTAAAGGACTCCGGTCTGGTCCCGTAGGGACCGGGAGGGTGTTTTAACAAGTTCTGGGTATGTAAATGAAGATTTTTTTTTTTTAGCTTTGAATAATTTATTTCAAAAATTCTTCTGCTTTCCTGGAAGAGTTCCTCTAAGTTTGGTTCCTTTTTTAGCTGGTACTAGCCGAGGGACTTGATAAGCTGCGAAAGAAGCTTTTTGTGTTACGGGAAAGAGGAGGAGGGAGGAAATAAGACGTGAAGAGTTTTGTAACAGCAGAGACGTTCCTGCGTTTTACGTGTAGCTGCTAACCGACTGGATGAGCGCTGATCAAAGGGAGCGAGGGCAAATCTTCCTTCTGCTGAGATCTGCATGAGCTTGCAAAAAAGGTTGAGAAATAAGTTACCTACAGCACAAAAAGGGTTGGTTAGCTGCTCCGAGTGCGGTGCAGTCTGTGTCGAGGATGAAGAGCTCTGGATCGAGTCTGGGCTCTGAATCCAGCTGGGAAAGGGATCCTTGATGCTAGAAGTGGCTCAGCCTCTGGTATCAACCGCTCCCCGAGTCCCACGGTGGGACTCTTCATCTGTCAATGCAGAAGAAATACGATCTTCATTTGGGAGCATTTTTATTTTTTTTAAACAGACTTTTAAAATAATTTGCTCTTACTGAATTATGTTCATTTATAAGGAAAAGGATATTAATTATTTACCTCGGGTGGCTTCATTCTAGAAATCTAATTTCTGGCGAGGTGGTAGGACTCATCCGGGTCTCGCTGAAATCGGTGGTTTGGCACATAGTCACTAGAACAAGTTAATGCATTTTTTATTAATAATAAAAACATATTGATTGGGATCTTGAGGTAGAACAAGTTGCAGAAATTTGATCAAAGTAACATTTTGGGGAGGGGGGCGGGGACGGATGCTAAACCACAACATGGTAAATTGATCCTGCTAGTACCAGCATTTGATATTTGAAAAACGTTTGAGTTCAAAGGAGTTTAGGTGTGGTTGGAAAAAGTGCCATTTTGTTGGACATGGTATCCCTGCAGCCTTTCAAAATCACCTTAACGGCCTGCGAAGGTCGTTCCCTGGACTAACTGTTGCTGGAGCTGTTTGGGTTTGGATAAATACGAGGCAGCAGCTCAGCGTCTTCCCTGGTGGAAGCGCTTACCCGGGGGTCACCCCAGCCCCTTTACAGCTCCAGGTCAGTCCTTTCCTCGTGTGCTGGTGCCGGCTGCGCTGGGATCCGCCGCGTGTCCCCGACAGCCACCGCGCACGGAGGCTCGTGGACACCCTGCCGAGCTTGGGACGCCGGAGACCGATGGTGGCACCGGCTTGCGCACCCCCAAACCCCACGTTTTACCATCCGGTTGAGCAGGACGTCGCAATGATCGCTTTATGAACCTCAAAGTATTTTAACGGGTATATATACATATATATACATATATATACATATATACATATACCCATATGTATAAAGACAGAGAGTTACCGCGACGCATACGGTGCTTTTAAGATACCCGATTCAGATCCTTTCAGATTTCATACACGCTACAGAAGCGAATTAATCGCACTACCCCATAACCCAGCTGCAGTGTCGTCACCGGGGATTTCCTTGTTGAATTTGCAGCTTGTTCACACCTGCTTGTGAAATACGGTGGAAGATGGCGCCGAATTTCCCAACACCCGTTCGTCTCCACTCTTAAAAACGAAATTTTGTGTGTGAAGGGCAGCTGCCCGTTGAAAAGGTGCTTAAAACACAGCGTTAGTAATGGTGGTTGGCGGCATCCCGATGGGACGTGGTTCGTGCTACGCCTTGAAAGCAAACCAGGGCTATTGCCGATGGAAGGAAATGTAACGTATTATATTTAGGCTTATAATTTGTCGTCGTACAACCAATGGGCAATTGGAAAATGATACTGCTTGGTGCTCAGCGTTGACATTTCGCAGCTTTCGTCCGCATATTTGAGCAAGTCGTCTCCCTGGATGAGGGGCCGCAGCTGGTTCTGCAAGCGCAAGGGGGAAGAGACCGTGCTTACGAATTGCAAATTATTTAATGATTTTTATTTTTTTTTTAAATGATAACACCTCGGAGAGGGAGGGGAAGCGCTGGTGTAACTTGCCAGCGCAGAGGCTGGTGTAGGCAGCCCGTGGGCACGTGGATTTGCTGCGCCGTGGTCCACGAGTCCTGCAGGGGACATGCTCCCCGTTGAACCGGAGCTCTCATCTCCCGTCC